CTCCAGGGAATCCAGCGTCCTTTTCCAGGTTCCACGGGTACTCACACATTACACACACATGCACAGAAGTTATAAAAAGAAATCTTTTTTTAAAAGTGGAAGTGTTTTCCGCCTGCTGTGGCCCCAGCTGGCAGTTGTGATCTACTCACATTGCAGTGCCCCTCACACAGTTTCTACTGTAACTGCTTAGCAGATTCAACCTTACCCTTGAACCAGGGTACAGCCTCCACACTGAGTTCATGTCCCCTCCTCTGTTCCCACGGTAACTTTGGATATCTTTATTTCAGTATTCACTGTTTTGCAGATGTCAGTGGTCACAGAGTCTTTCATCTTTCCGTCTGTCCTATTGGTAGTAGGTACTAATAAACATTTTTTCAATGAGTGAATAAAATGTTTTGTAAATCATCTAAATGAAGAAAATAGTTTTCATTAAAATCCTGAAATGCATTGACTGAATATGTGATTATATATTAGTTATAGAGCTAAATCTGACTGTTCACTCAAGGGCTGTATTGCTCCTCTTCACCTCATCCACACAGCACACTTCACTGAGCTGGGGAATTTTGCTAATTCTCTTGAAGATCTTGTTAGAGCTTATTCAGCAAAGCAGTCTTCTCTCTCTCTCTCTCTCTCTCTCTCTCTCTCTCTCTCTCTCTCTCTCTCTCTCTCTGTGTGTGTGTGTGTGTGTGTGTCTTGCTGTGTGTGTGTGGATCAGTACACGTGCATTAGTTTGTTTGAGGCAGGGCTTGCTATGTAGCTTAGACTCATCTTGAATCTGCTATCCTTCTATTTCATCTTGTGAAAGGCTGGGATTGCAACCATGTTTGACCCTATTACACTTTTGGGTTTTGTTGTTGTTGTTGTTGTTGTTGTTGTTGTTGTTGTTGTTGTTGTTGTTGTTGTTGTTGTTGTTGTTGTTGTTGTTGTTGTTGTTGTTGTTGTTGTTGTTGTTGTTGTTGTTGTTGTTGTTGTTGTTGTTGTTGTTGTTGTTGTTGTTGTTGTTGTTGTTGTTGTTGTTGTTGTTGTTGTTGTTGTTTTACAAACTTGGCAATGTGGATATCATCGTACTTGGCTCTGAATAAATTTTTGACTTTTTGTTTGTATTTTTTTGAGACAGTGTCTCATGTAGGCCAGTCTGATATTGAACTCATTATGTAAACAAGAATGACATTGAATTTGTAGTCCTCTTGCCTCTGTCTCACCAGTACTGGGGTTACAGTTGTGTTCTGCATACTCGGTTTTATGGACTACCTTGGGATAAGCATGTACTCTCCTCCACTGAGCCACGTCTCCAGTGCAAGTCTTTGTGTCTTAGTACACAGTGAAAGTATCTTTGAAGGAGATATCTGCACAATAGTCCCAGGAGGCATTCATAACTCTAAATTCCAGGAGATGGGCACTCCGCTTTTCAAGTTATCTTTCCCCCTCCAAGTTACCTTTAAAGCTCTGAAGGCTTCATATGCTGCTGGGCTAGAATTTATCAAAATGATTTCTAAAACTTTTAAGCAATGGCAACATCAATGCTACTACTTTGAGATAAATGTCATTTATTTAATTGTAGGATTACATTGTTTGTTTAAAATAATGAATAGACACTTTATGATAATAAAAGTTGCGTGCGTGCATGCGTGCGTGCATGCGTGTGTTGTGGTGAAGACAGTGCTAATTCTGATTCCCAGAGCCACTGTAGCCATGAGGCAGGCAGATCTCTGGGAGTTCAGGGCAAGCCTGGTCTATGTAGTATGTTCCAGGACAGCCAGAGCTACTAGACCCTATCTCAAACAAGTAAATGTTACTTTTGATCCTTTGGTTGTTATATGCTTAATAAGAATGCATTTAATCCAGAAATATTTTATTGAATCTCCTGCAAACAATTCAAGACAGACTTTTGAATAGACTCTTAAGAAAGGAACAGTTGATTAGAATGGGGAGATACAGGAATGGTTCAGAAGAGAATCTCAGAGCAACCCAGTTAGGAAACATTTTCTCTAAAAGCAGGTTTGAAGAAATCCTTTGGAATCCAGAAGACATGTCACTCACTAACTACTGACAGCTGGTTACACGACAGTTTCCCCTTTTGCTGAGTCAATATAAGGAGAACAGGCACTTGATGGAAACGTCACTCCATTGGCTTCAAATAAAAATTACTTTCCCTCAAGTTGGTTTATTAACCATTGTTGAACATCAGGCTCATTTTCCACTTGAAACACTGATGACTTCATTTAATTTTTATCCACAAGTAAAGCTTCATAATGTGACCTGCCTGTCCACCCCCCTCAAGCCACATGGTCAGACCTTTGTAGATGTAAGAAGGCCTCTGTCTTCTGAAAAATCAAGGCACTGTTCACAAAGACCCTGTAAGGAGTGAGAAATACCCATTGTTCTTTCTCAAGACAGCCTAATGCTACACAAGCAGCTTGCTACAAACTGAAAAAGTCTTAGAGAAAGTATACTCACAGAACTGTGACATGATTAGATTACGTCTCTAATTGCTGTATTTGGGAAACTTGTAATCTCTTCTCAAACTTTTTATTCTGTTTCTGGATATGCCACTTTTGTGTATCAGGTGGAGCCAGTGACACATTTGTGTATGTTTTCCATTTTTGCTTCCCAAGGCCAAGACACCTAACTGATTTGAGCTGCAATTTCCTTCTCTGTAAAATGAAGATAAAAGTACATGGTTTATGAACTTTATTTTTATTTATTCATTTTTTTGAGACAGGGTTTCTATATGTAGCTACCCTGGAACTCACTATGTAGACTAGATTGGCCTCAAACTCATAGAGATCACCTTGCCTTAGCCTCCTGAGTGCTGGGACTAAAGGTTCTTTGGTTTCTGAACTTTAAAATGATATTGCTCAGTTGGTAAAGGTGTTTGCTGCCAAGACTGAGGACTTGAGTTTGGTGCCTGGAACCCACAAGGTGGAAGGAGAGAACTGACTCCAGAAAAGTATCTTTTGATCTTCATGTATGCACGAGGGCATGCATCCCATTCATACACATATATGCTCCATCCTTGTACAGTAACATTTTTGTGCTGTCCAACATCGCAAAATGCTGCACATATGTGCCCCATCCAGGTGCAGTAACTGGGTACACATATGTGCCCCATCCAGGTGCAGTAACTGGGTAACATTTTTGTGTTGCCCAGTGGAGTTGCTCAAATGCTTTCTCATGGCTCTTCTGCTCACTTCCTCAGTTGTGAGCTTGTTGGCTGATGCTACAGTGTCAGGTTGATTCTCCACAGGTAGGAACTGCTTTGCCCAAGGTAATGTCCTCTCCATGAGTGCAGCTCTCATCTAATTACTGGGGAGGACACAGGCCCAGCTGCCTTTCTTCAAATGGAAAAAAGCTTTGAAAGGCTGACCTCCAGAGAGCCTATAGGATTAAGTGAGACCTCAAAGTTGTCAAAGTCTTTCCAGTACTCAGACCTATTTCCCTCACTCCTGAAAAGAGCTGTTCCTAGGGTCTCTGCTGGCTAATTTTGTCACCTTGACAAAAGATAGAGTCATACAAGAGGAGGGAACAGCTACGAAGAAAATGCCTCCATAAGATCGGGCTGTAGGCCTGCCTATAGGACATTTCCTTAATTAACAATTGACAGGCGAGGGCCCAGTCCATTGTGGATGGGTGCCATCTCTGGGCTGGAGGTCCTGGGTTCTATAAAAAAATCAGGTTGAGCAAAGCCATTGAAAGCAAGCCAGTAAGCAGCATTCCTCCATGGTCTCTGCATCAGTTCCTGCCTCCACGTTCCTGCCCCGTTACTACTCTGATTTCTTTCCATGAACTGTTGTTATATGGAAGTGTGAGTGAATTAAATACTCTTCTCTCCAAGTTGTTTTTGGTCATGTTGTCTCATCATTATCCCTAACTAGGACCATCACAAAGCAGTGTACCACCTGTACCATTCTCCAACCTAGACTGTGTGTGTGCCGCGGATGCCAACTGGCAGCAACATGCCTTTCTCAGAGACTGCCTCATTCTTTTGACTTAGCTGCTGTTTGAATATGGCATATCTGATGTTTATCCCCAAGACAAACCAAAGCTGGCTGATGACTATGGAGCTGAATTTTTGGCCTTAGGGAGAGTGTAAAGATACCATTAAGTCTCACATTTCCTGTTGTAAACATGTTTGTTGTACACAAATGAATCCTAAGACATCTGTTTACTTGTTAAATACTTTTCAGTCTTTAAATTTTGGTTTAATTTAATTTTATTGCTCAAGTAGAATGTTTTAGTGGCTGAGAAGATGGCTCAGCAGGTAAGAGCACTGTCTATTCTTGCAGAGGACCTGGATTCCTTTCCCAGCGTCCACGTGATAGCTCCTAACGCTCTGTAATTCCAGTTCCAGGTGATCCAGTGTTATCTTCTGGCCTCTGCTGGTACCTGTCACTCACATGGTGCTCAGACACACATACAGGCAACACACCCAAACACAGAATAAAAATAATTCTAAAGAGTAGAATTTTTTGGAATTAAATGGTTCCATTAAGGATGCGGCTGATGTGAAATTTATGAGGTGGTGGCAGTCTGGCGGTCTGCAACTTTCAAATTCATGTCTATTGAGGACTCCATTGCAATAAAAGTATAAGATTTATTTAAACTCGGTGATTTAGTTAACAGAAAATTTATGACAAAAGAAGGCCCAATTCTCTGTTTTCACGTTTTTGTGTGGGTGATCAGATGATGGTCTAGTGATAACAATATTGGGGTTGTGTAATTGCATCAGGTCAGCTGTCCCTGGCTGGTGAATGTCATTGCTCTGCTTCCCTTTGTAATAATCACCCACCAACTTCTAAATTCTTCTGTTTTCTAAAACACTATTTGTTCTCCTTGTGGTCAATACTTGTTCATCTATGGACTTTTTTTTTTTTTTTCCGACACAGACACTATCTATTGAGTGTCTAGTGTATAGTGATTCTGTCCATTAATGTTCACACTGCCTGTTTTTTTTTCCTGCTTAATTTTAAAACTCCTTGTTTTTACATTCCTTTCCTCAGAAGAATTACCTTGTACATGTCCCCTGTGTACCTCAGACCGAGGGAGCTGTGTTAGTACCACAGAAGGGATCCAGCTTGCCAAAGAACTTGGAGCTACATATCTGGAACTCCACAGCCTTGATGACTTCTACATTGGAAAGTATTTTGGAGGAGTGGTAAGTGGAGATCCCTGAAGCATGTGAGGTCATTTGTCAGGCTGGCCGAGCTTTAGTTTTATAAAAATTGTTTATTTTAACCTTGAGGAACACAGTAAGAGTTAAGTGGCATAGGCTTAATTAGTGTAAAATTATAAATTCTCCATCCAAATGAAATGTTTTTAATCATTTCTTATGATTTTTAGAATCTTTCAAAATTGGTACTATATTGGTCCTGGTGTATGTCAAAATCATAGGTTCTTACATACCTACATGAGTTTGTAGTGACCGTGTGTGTGTGTGTGTGTGTGTGTGTGTGTGTGTGTGTGCACATATATGCACATCTGTGCCTGTATGTGGGCATGGGTGCATATGGTCATACTTAGATGTGAAGGCCTGAGGACAACCTCAAGTGTCCTCAGAAACTGTTGACCTTTTTTAAAGACAGGGACTTCCACTGACCTGGAATTTGTCAAGTAAGTTAGGTTGGCTAGTCAGTGTCACTCAGGTCCACCTGTCTTTCCCACCCCAGTGCTGGCCAGTGAAACATGCTTCATTCACCATGCTCGGCATTATTGGGGAGGGGGGATACATGTGCTGTGTGTAGAAGCCAGAGGTCATTCTTGAATGTTGTTCTTCAGGTGCCATCCACCTTGTTTTTGTGAGACAAGGTCTCATTGGCCTGGAGCTCACAGTGGCAAAATTTGATAGCCAATGAGACTCAGGGATCTGCATGTCTCTACCTTCCTAGTGCTGTAATTATAATTATGTCCTGCTATGTCCACATTTCCCCCAGATGGATCAGGTCATTGTACTTGGAAAGCAAGTACTTTACTGACTGAACCATCTTGCCATCCTGGTTTATAATAATCAATATACAGCTGAATGAACCTTGCAACCTGAACCGGTGTGTCCTAAAAGTTCTCTTTATTTCTATTAACTGACAACAGTGGTGGTTTTCTTTTATGCATGATTCAGCAAGACTTCACAACCAGTCTTGCTATAATTCAAACATACACTCAGTTCTAAATGTCATCAAACCCTTCCCTTCGGGGCTCAGGGAACTATGTGCAAGAGAAAGTAAAAAGAGTGTAAAAGCCAGAAAGGATGGATGACACCAGAAAGACAGTGCTTTCTAAATGCAGCAGGACTGGTGCACATCTGAACTTGGGGAGACTGAGGCAGCCTGCACAGGTCTAAGCTGGATGGGGTCCAAGTGCTGAGAGGAGGAAGTGGACAAGAGGACCATCCCTACAAGAAGCCATTTCCAATTGACAACCACTTGCAAGGGCATTCTTCCTGATACACAAACCATACTGAAGTCCCCATGCCTGGTGGTAGATGGCTAACACAAAACGAAGCCTGTGGAGTGCTTGTAAATTTTTGTCATGTATTGCTTTGTTTGGGCATCTTAAGTTCCTCTTTTGCTTATATATTGCGGTTTCCAATTTTGTGTTTTTATGTGTGTGTGTGTGTGTGTGTGTGTGTGTGTTTCTTGTGCTTTTTGTTTGTTTGCCTATTTGTTTTCTAAAGATATAGAAATGGAGTAGAGAGGGTAGGGAGGTGGAAAGAATCTGGGAGGATTTGGGGAGGAAGGAACTGTGATTAGAATATATTGTATGAAAAAATTATTTTCAGTGGAAACATACATGCACATACACACACACACAGAGAGAGAGGGGGGGCTGTTTATGTGACTAGCTTCTTGTTGAATGGGAAGGAACAAGGCTTTGCCTATTCAGTTGCTGTGGTGTTGTGTCTTGTGGCCATTTTAAATCTCAACATATAATAGCTATCCCATAGTACTAAGACAATAAGGTCTTTGGAGAATACTTGCATAATTTAACAGTTTACTGGTCTTAAACTATCCATCTCTCCAAGAAGTAGCCCTTCTCAGTAGGCACATATGGTAATCGTCAATGAAAGTCAACACCAATGATTACTCTACCTTAAGCGTGAGATCTTTGGACTTAATGTACGCTTGTGTTGAGACATTCAAATTACCACAGATGACTATAGAAATTTTATTCTCTGGAGTTCACTAAGTTGACTATAATAAATATAAATGACATGAATTTCTATTAAATGTAAATAGCTACAATTAAGTCTAGTATTTCTATTGTAGTAGGTTTGAAATATTTTCATTTGATCAATAACTGTACAGTTCCGTGGATATTTAGGTAATTTATGTGGAGGGTGGGTGAGTGTCATCTTTCTTTAATGATTTCATTTGATAGCTGTTTCATGGGTTGGATTTAGTTTCATTTCTGTTGGGTAGAAGTCTTCTGGCTCTCTATTCCAGCTCTTGAGCCTGAAATGCTTGGGACCACTCTTCTCACCTCTCTTTCTCTTCTTACTCCTCCACGTTTCTCTTTCTTTATAATGTTTAATGGTGTAGTTACAGTGAGAGACATAAGAAGGTCTGAAGATGTGGACAAGGTTGGGAGAGAGATGTGGATTTTTTCCTTTATGTTAACACTTAGTAAGAAAATGAAATAGAATCAAGAAGACCGTGCGTGCGTGCATGCGTGCTGCGTGCGTGCGTGCGTGTGTGTGTGTGTGTGTGTGTGTGTGTGCCTGTCCATGTATGTTATGGTGGTGATGGTGTGTTCGTGCATGCAGCTGCATTCATACAATTGTATGTGCCATTGTGTGCACATATACAAGTCAGAAGATGATCTTGGTTGTTGGTCATCACTTTACACCTTGTTTGAGATATACTCTCTTGCTGTCACCACTGCATCCACCATACGGGCTGTCACCACTGAATACCCCACACCAGCTGTCACCACTGCATACCCCACACTAGCTGTCCCAGGAGCTTGGGGGTATTCTGGCTCCTGTCTGCAGGAGTGTAAGATTACAAACTTATGTTATCACTTCTGGCTTCACGGGGGCTCTGCGTTTCCAAGCTAAGGTCCTCACATTTGATCAGCAAGTACTTGACCTCTCTACCTGTTGAGCCATTTCCTCAGGCCTCTCTCTCAAGACTCTTGAGTAGTAATTTGTAACTGGAATCTGGGTGGAAAAAAATTATGGCATTTGTAAGAATGCAACTAGAGATAACATTGAAGTGAAAGGGCATTTAAAATCTTGTGTTTCAGAGGTAGGGGTGGAGAGTTGTACAGCACTCCCTTCCGCCCCGAGTAAGAGGACATCTGCCCATGAAGTTTAGAGAACCTGTCATCTGGTTGTGTGCCTTCTCATAGGGCACACATTAATGGCGCCAAGAGGATGTGATTGCCTGGAGCATATACCACTCGCTTCCAGAACTATCTGTGCTTTTACATATGGCTGTTGCTAGTTATACTTAAATTAACCAAAGTGAAACAAAATGAAATTCAGTTCTTTGAGTATTAGCTATATGTCACAGTTAAGAGTACTATGTAGCTTTCCATTGGTGCCCCAGGTTCTCTTACCCAGTGCTATGACCAGGATCCCAGACAAAGGACTCAAATTATCCAACCACTGATCTAAAGTCTGTTTCCTGGTGGGCCTGCTCTCCTGACGGTGGTCTGACGGTGGGCTTCGTTGCTGGGACCCTTAGACCTGAGAGGTGGCCAAGGGGTAACTGTTTAAAGGAAGCTGGTGAGGGGATGAGCTGCAGTTTGGGGATCCTCTTGGGTGCACAGATTTCTTTGAGGGGGTGAGAAGTGGGGAGGAAGAGTGGGGGTGAAAAGAGTATATAATCTTGGGGTCTAAGAGTTAGGGGTGACCTATCCCATGCTGCGTGTGTGTCAGAGGGGTTTGGCAATTTTAAGCTAAATCTGGCTGATCATACCTGTGTGAAGATAGATTTCTCAGAGTAGGAATATAGAATGTCTTTTCCTCATAGTTTTCTTTTTTGATTAACATTGGAATATTTTGCTGTGTGGATGACATCCGTTTTTGTGCTTTTACCCCAGGTCTTGTGAGGCACTTCACAGCCCAGCAGCTAGGTTACTGCAAGTTGAGGAGAGTGAGTTTTCATTAGTAAAGGACAATGTATGAAGAGAAACAAGTGCAGCTGCCTCGCTGAAGAGGGCATCTGTGGACAGATGTGGCCATACCTGTTACTGCCTTGAATGTCACAGTATTAGCTACAGCAGTTTCCCACTGAGGAAATTGCTGCAGCCATAGGGTTGCAATATGTTCGTTGCTTGTTTGATTATTCAAAAGATAATTTTTTTCTTAAGTGAGGGTTCAGACAAAACAAATCAATTTCTCCAAATATCTTTATTTTTACCGTTAAAAATTATTTACACATGTTTGCTAGTATTGGCTCTGACATTGAAATCATTTGCAAATGTGGTTTGGAATACAAATGATCATGTCAGAGATAACTGTGTTGGACTTAATTCTGATTTGGTTCATGTTTCAGTTGGAGTATTTTATGATTCAAACCTTAAATCAGAAGACAAGTGAAAAAATGAGGAAAAGGAAAATGACCAACTCCTTCCATGGAATTAGACCGCCTCAACTTGAACAACCAGGTGTGGAGATATTAAGAAGACATTTCTTAGAAATCATTCCTTCTAGACTTTAGAGAAATGACTTTCAATCTGAGCATGCTCAGGGCCCATGTGACAGTCTGACTCATGGAACCTGGGACAAGGGCTGTGACATTAGCTGCCACTAATGTGGTGGTAGTTAAACCACACTTCTGAGAAAATGCCCATGTAAAGTTTGATCCTACAGATTCTTAGCATGTGTAGAGAGGAACTGTTGGGATAAAGACTGTCAGTTAACTATGAAGGGTAGTGTGACAATCTTAATATCTTAATGGGATGCTGCTCAGTAAGACATCTAAACAGCAGTCTTTGGACACTTGGTGGAATTTTAATATGAACCAAAAACCAGATGGGATTGTAGGGTTATTGTTCATTTTCTTACCTATTTTGATTAACAAGTCAGTATTCTCATTTGGGAGAGATAATGTGAAAATATTTCAGAGCCACAGTAGTCTAATGCCCACAGCTAACTTTTAAAGGGTTCAGCACTGTGTGTGTTTGTCTTTGTGTCTCAAGATTAACTGCAGGATGAAGTAAAAGGTGTATCTATACACTATCATTTGTGCAACTGAGTGTAAATATAAAAATAAAATGACACCCTATTAGAACATTTTACATGGTTTTATGATGCAATAGTTGAATAGTTATCTGTTGGATCAGTTTGTCTCTGGTATGATTTCTAAAAATAGTTACTTGATATCATAGAATAGTGACTATAGTTTTCTATCACTTTTTGTTGTGGTGGTGGTTGTTTGAGACAGGATTTACCTGTGTAACAACCTTGGCTGTCCTGGAACTCTCTTTGTAGATCAGGCTGGCCTGGAACTCACTAAGATCCACCTGCCTCTGCCTCCCAAGTGCTGGGATTAAAGGTGTGTGCCGCCATCACCTGGCTGACTATAGTTTATCATGATAATGTTATTATATTTTATGAAGAAATGGAAAAGATGGGTTTTAAAGCCCCAAATACAAAGAAATGATGATGAGATACGTATTGAATCATTAGTGTGTATTCAGTAAATGTGAGGTATTCCTATTTGTCAAAAAAAAAAACCCTTAAAGTAGGTGCTGTAGGACTATTTGTTGAGTGACTATAAATATAAACCAAGGAAATGCAAATTAGAATTGAGGAATCATTTCCAGTTTTTAAAAGTTCAGATAAGTCTGCTCTGTGGTAAATTCTGGGGCCTTAAACACTTTCAGAGTTCGAAAAGAACAAACAATTAGCAGACAGCTAATTGTTCTGACTGATCCAAGGGAAAGAAATTCTCATTCCTTGGAGGAACCAAACATCCAACACTATTTGACACTGGTAGAGACTCCCCAGTGGCTTTTCATTTGGGGAATGGGTAATATAGAATACAGTGTCTATGCAGCAGATACAGCCTGTGTGTCCACAGGGCTGTCATGTATCTTTTATTTGAGAGGACTGTGGGCCAAGCACTACATAAAACCCAGGATCCAGCACAACTGCTCCCAGGTGTCTCTGGGGCTGACTCCTTCTAAGGATCAGTAATGGACTCTGGGAGCACTTGGCTTTCACACTGTTAGCATTTGAGGTCCTGTGAGGGTCCCCTAAGCATAGGAGGGTGGATGGCCTTGGGAGGCAGTGCAGGGAGCCTGACCCTCAAAGATGCTTGTCACAGACACAGCTTCCTATCTTTCTTTAGAACAAAGCATTTCTGTTGCTGAAGGAATTAACTTCACTTGCTTGGATTGCTGTGTGTCATCCTTTGGTATCCTTTCCCTTATGCTCCTCTGCTTAGATTTGCCAGCAAGTGAGAGGCCAGACATCTTACAGTTAGGTTCTGTGGGAGTTCCTAACCTGAGGAATCCTGGGCTGATGAAAAAGAAAGCCCTCTCTTCAATAGATCAAACTAGTCCTGGCAAATCTAAGGGGATGTTTTCTGTAGGGACCTATGGATTACACTCAGCACCCTGGCTGAGGTATGTTGAATGGAAAGAATTATTTGCTGTTTGGTGAAGTAGATTATTTACTTTACTAGAAGGGAAAAAAAGACTAGTAAAAAAAAAAAAGTTGGGCTGGAGAGATGGCTCAGAGGTTAAGAGCACTGACTCCTCTTCCAGAGGTCCTGAGTTCAATTCCCAGCAAGCACATGGCGGCTCACAACCATCTGTTATGAGATCTGGTGCCCTCTTCTGGTGTGCAGATATACATGGAGGTAGAATGTTGTATACATAATAAATAAATAAAATCTTTTTTTAAAAAAAAGTCATTAGGATGATTTGAGACAATAGAGTAGTTAGAGCCATGGCAATGTATGAAGACTTGGAAATCATTGACATTAAGTAGTTGCCCTTGGCCTCCACTGCAGATGTGAGCTTAGTTAAATTTTTTTAAATCAAGTTGACTCCCAACCTCCATACTAAAAGTTCTGTACTTAGGGGATTGTTTTGAGGCACACAAATAATGAGAAATGTTATTTTATTGCTCATATCATTAGGTTTTCACTTTCACTACAAAATATAAATATCGTAGTCATGTGTGTTCTGTAAAATGCGCTTCAGTAATGCCCGATGAGTTGTTGTATATTTTGGGGTAAAGCTGTACAAAATCAGTGATTTGTAGATTTTAAAAAAATGGGCAAGTATTGGTACTTTGTAGGATTCCATCTCATTTTTTAAAAATACTTTTTAGTTATTATGCCTGTACACATAAAAATAGGTTATTACTTTAATTTTCCCTCCCAAACAGAAAAGATGCCTGTCTTGAAAGCTGAAGCATCACACTACCACTCTGACTTGAACAACTTGCTATTCTGCTGCCAGTGTGTGGACGTGGTGTTTTACCACCCAGAAGTGACAGGCATCGTGGAGGCCCATAAAATTGTTCTCTGCGCTGTAAGCCACGTTTTCATGCTGCTTTTCAATGTGAAGAGCGCTACTGACATTCAGGACTCCAGTATCATCCGAACCACCCAGGATCTCTTTGCCGTAAGCAGAGATGCTGTGTTTCCAGGTGCTAGCCAGGGATCTTCCAGCAACCCACCCCTGCGAGTCATCGTGAAGGATGCCCTCTTCTGCTCCTGTTTGTCCTACATTCTGCGCTTCATTTATTCAGGTACCTTGACAGGCACTTCTGGGTCCTTCTACTAAGTTTCCTAGAAGTCTGAGAGAGTCTTGGTTAATTTTACACTTATCTTACCCCCTGCCCTCTGTGGTGATACTTACACAGGACATGTAGCACTTGCTTTATATGTAGAAATTAGTTTAAGTGTTTTGTCTTCCTGAAAAATTTATTTGCCTTAAGGGAAAAAATGTCAAATTCACATAGTATACAGTTTGCTACTTTAGCCATCTTTAAGTGTACAATCCAATGATACTAGATGCATTGACAGAGTACACTTATCATCTCCATTCATCTCTGTAATTCTTTACTTTGAAAGCCAAAAAGGTCTGTCACATTAAATGGTAACTTCTCCAAGCCCCAGGCAGCCGCCCCCTCTCTCCTGCTGTGATTCTGATTACTCTATGTGTCTCAGATGAGTACAGTCAGGATAGCTGAGGTTTGGGGACTGGCTTATTTTATTTAGCATAATGTCTTCGAGGTTCATCCAGGTTGTCACTTACATCATTTTTTAATGCTTTGGAAAGTACAGCAGTTGTTAGAATATTAAAGACAGAATTACCACATCATATAGCAGTTCATTTCTGACTGCATAGCTGAAGTAATTAAAGGCAGGGTATCAAAGAAGAGTTGTACATCCATGCTCATAGGAGCATTATACAACCTGTTTAAAGTTGTGAATGTGATGCAAATGCCATTAATGGATTAATGAACAAATGTGTATTCAGTGGGAAATTACTGGGCCCTAAAAAGCAAGATGTTCTTTTTTTCTTTTTCATTTGAGTTGTGGTTATTTTGCATAGTAAGTTAAAATTTAATTATGTTTTTTTGGGGCTGAAGAGATGGCTCAGCCGTTAAAGGCTAGGCTCAACCAAAATTTTTGATTATGTTTTTTAAAAGAATCTCTGTAGTTGATTTTTGTTGGAAATGTAAGAATAATGTGGTGTTGGTTCAGTGAGTAGTGCTTTGGCAAATTCACGAGTAGAACCCATAGGGCACACTGCCTTCAGCTTGCAAGGGTTCCCGTATATTTTAGTGTCCTTGTAGATGGAGCTCAAGTAGCCAAAGTCATCAAATAACATCAAGTTAATGACTTCTTTTAGTTCTACAAATTTAAATGTTTAAACCTAGGATCTCACAGCTCAGAATTTAATACTACTAATTCTAAAAAACTGAATGTTTGCATGTTAAGAAAAAGAGTTAAGGAACTATGTCTAAGGAACAATGAGGAGGTGTTTGACTTTCCAATGAGTTTACTGTTAAAATTTTATGAGTTATTCAGCAGCCTTCCCATAATATTCATTTAATCCTGGTAGGCACATGAGCCCCCTAAGCCATTTATACTTTCTTTACTAGGGTAGCTGCAAAGCAGATCCAGTCTCCAGAGACTGAACCTGCCTGCCATTCTCCTGGGAAAGGATGTTCTTTACACTGTAAAGTCAACTCAGTAGAGATGGGAAGAAATGCAGGCCAATTACCTGTGACAGCATTCTGAATTCTATCAGATACTATTAGAAAGTGGTTTTGTTCACCTGTACAGATACTCTGGTAAACATGTTATCCTCATATGCTGTTTTCTGGGAACCATAGGTACTATTCTATGACTTGGAGCACTGAGGAGGAGATGAGGCCAGCAGGGCCTGTGGGAACCAACTCTGCCGTTCCTAGAAGCTGTGATCAGGCTGGGCTTTTGTGGTGGACATGGGGGCATGGGGGTCTTGAAGTAGAGAGGGCAATACAAGAATTTGGTAAGGAAGCTCCACGCATCTGGCAAGCATCATCAGGAGGCTGGTGTCGTGACCTTTCATCATCTAGATGATGAGTCAAAGGTCACCTGGGGAACCCATTAGTGTGCAGATCCTTATGGTGTGACTGGCATGGGGGTGCAATGTGAGCTGTATTTGCACCAGACTCCCAATGATGGCTGATACTCCTGAGACAACTGGGTTTGGGCCACAGCCAGTGAAATAGGGCTTGAACTTCAGTTGAGAGACTAGGCTGGGAAGTCCATTGTCACCTTAGGGTACAAAGTAAAACTGGGGTAAACTGCAAGCTCTCTTATTCAGAGCTATTGGAGCTCGGTTCTTGGTGTCCTGTCATCGATCTGCCCAAAGAGGAGAGTGGATCTTAGCGGATGAGCGGAAGTTTAGGGACAAGGCAGTGGGATGCACAGCAGAGGCTATAGAGTGTGTGTGCGGAAAGTTAGGTCCTAGGCCAGCTCAGAGCTCCTATAGTCCTGTACATCTACACTTCTGCACCTGTGCACCTCTACTGCATGTCTGCACCTCTGCCCTGCACTTCTGCCCTTGTGCTCTGCACTTCTGCACTTCAGCTCTGCTCTCCTATGTCTCAATCACACAGGAGATGGGGTGGGGTTTGGCCTTGGTCTGGAGTAGGAGGAGCCTGATGCAGGTTGCCAAGGAAGAATGACTAGCTCTTCAGGTTCTTATTAATCATTCTTTAATTACATACAAATGATAAATCTGAATTGAGCAGAAGAAAGCCTAAGTTCTGTTTTAAAAGGTACTAAAGCCATCATTGCATAGTTTTTTTAAAAAATACATTTGGTTCAAAAAAAAAAAAAAAAAACAACCCACAGATCCCATTGTCCAAACAAAAATTTTTAGCAAATGAAATAAAAAAATCTTACGTCTACATTTTCATAGAGTCTTCAGTGAGGAGTTAAAATGTCTCCTTGTAACAATTTAAGATTTCTGCATAGAACATGGGTTTCCAGGCCCATTATGCAGTGGTTTTTCCACAGTCCACAGGTCACAGAATTTATCAGGGAACCATGGAGAACAGCAGCCATGGCTTGTCTATGCCCATGGCACTGCTCAGGCAAAATAACTCCATGACACAGCATCCTCAGGAAAATTTCCCTGAGCAAACCGGCTAGAAAGCTACAATAAATCTATCTTCTGCCCTTGAAAACAGTTGGTCAGACCACGAAAGGCAGTTTTAAAATAATACCAGGCTTGTCTTTTGCCTCTGGGAAATGGATTATGTTTTGGCTTGGTGTTTAGAAGGCACCTATTTCATCGTCTGTTTAGCATTTTGTACTCATATATCAGTCTTTTGTTTCTTTTCCTCTTAAGAAGTTTTGAATAACTAGGTACAGTCCAGGTGTATGCTAACTTCCCATTGCATGAGAGGAACACCATATGATGTGTTAATGTTTAATAAGTAGTGCCTGAGGACAAGGGCTAACAGCAGAGTGAGATCTGCAGTTTCTTGCTCAGGAAGTTATCATGAAACAGCATACACTTGTAACATTCTTACAATACTTGGTAGTTTATGGCTTATAAATTGCTGAGTCACATGATCTCCGATGGTTAGAAATTTAAATATTTATGAGAGACTCAAGAATGTAGCTTTGAGTTGGACCTGTCATGACCCAGAATTCCACATGACTTCCTGAAATGCAGAGTAGATGAGCTTGTGGACAACCCTTCAGGTTCAGGCTGCATGGTATTCTCTCCAGTCCTTGGCATTGTTCCTCAACATGCTCTTTTCTGGACAACAGAAAACAGCATCAAATACCTGAATGCTCCATAAATTACTGAGGGGCTTGAGAAGTTATCCTTAGGAAACCCCAGTGAACGGTGCAAGATGAGAGCTGCTAAGTCCCTGCCACGTGACACTGTGATTGTTGTTGACAATGCTGTATACAGAAACATTGTTCAGGGATGGATCTCATGCTACATATTTTCACCACAGAAAAGAAGGTCGAGCCTGAGGATCATTGTTTTCTTAGCAGCTAGGGTGTCAAAGATAATGTGATTAGTATTTCTAGTTATGGAACCCACCTGTTTGTTAGTGTACTGTTGGGAATTTGCTCTACTTTCATTCTTGGCTGTCAGCTCTTGGTGATTGTTTTCAAACAGCTAACTGGACCCTCAGGTTGGCCCATTTATTTAGGTTATTTGATGGTTGCTTGCTTTCAGATAGCCCTATGAATGAAGGTATTATGTGGATGTTCCTTGGTTAATATGACTTGTATTAACTGAATGCAAGTTTTATTTAGTAATGTTAAAAGTTAACACTGAGATTGCATCTGTGTTTGCCTTCAGTTTAGATGACTGTAGTCAGATAAAGACATTCCTGCCCTAGGCTAACTGGGTTGCTAATGGCTGGGATTTTTAAGGTGTAAGCATGGTCAACAGCAGCACTCAAGAGTATTTAGGGGCCCTGGGAGGTTTTAAAACATGCTAGTGTCTGGAACCCCAGCTGATCTTTCTTCAGGTCAATATAATGCACAGCTAGGATGGAGAATCAATCTGGGTTCCTTTGGTTTCTAAGGCATTTGATACACTGGGCATTTTTTGTTTTTTATGTACAAGATTTATTGTATAGGGTTTAGGGAGGTGTCAGAAAAGTTAGCTACAAATTCAATGGGAAACCTCTTGTCACTGTAGTCATTCCAGGCCATTAGCAGATGGACATGGGGCTAGCATATAGCCCCATGGTGTTGATGTCAAGACTTGATAAGCTAGAGTCACCCTTGCATTAGACAGTTACTAAGCAGAGTAAAAAGCTGTCCCATGATGCTCTGAGTAGGCATCAAACAGGCTTTGCTTTGTGTGATGTCTTGCTGCCCAGTCTCTGTCCCTCTGGTGTCCACAAACACCTCTAAGAGCCCCAGAGAACTCTGCTCAGCACTGGGCAGAGGACACTCAGGGAGTCTGGTGTCAGCAGCCAGGAGGCTAAGAGGCTATGAGAAGGAAGGTGTATGTGTTCACCCGGATTTAGCAAGGACAGGAAGGAACGGACCATCCAAACACAGGGAGAGGCATGTAGCATCCTCTCCCTATAGTATCAATGGCCATGGCATAGGCATCACAAATCACTTTTTAATACAGGGGTCCTGACATTTTTATACAAACTTTTTGTTTATGAGAGCATGGGAAGTTTTCTGGAAAGATAATCCAAAGAATTTGTCAGATTATGTGTGTCGAGTTAAAAATCACTGACATTAAAAGAGAGAGAATGGAGACAATTCTTAGACACTCATTCTTTTGCTGTATAAAGAAGAAAGTGACCCAGCAGGAAAGTCAGAGTAGAAGAGCTGTCACAGTTAGGAGGAGGCAGTGGTCAGCTGGAGTCAGAGCAGCGCCTGTGTGAGCAAGGCTACTGTGTTTAAAGTGCCCATTTCCAAGGTCTGTGATACCACCCTGTTAGCTCGGATTTGGCTATGCTGTGAATGTTAATATGATGGAAATGGCATGTGTTGCTGAAGCTGGAGTGAGAAGGTGAGAAGCAGAAGTGAGAACACACAAGAATGCTGAGTGCTGTAGCAAAAATAAGTGATAGAGTGATGGCTGAGCAGTTAAGAGCACTGGCAGAGGACCCAGGTTCCATTCCCAGGACTCATGTGGTGACTAACAACTGACTACCACAGTTCCAAGGGATCTAATATCTGCTTTTGGTCTCTTTAAGCACAGCACAAATGTGGCACACTCACATACCTGCAGTCAAACATTCATACACATAGAAATGAACCAATCTTTAAAAAAATTAAAAAGAAATTGCCAAGAGCACCAAGCTTCTGGGTTCCAGAACCTTTGGGTCAGGCTTTGGTTCCTGTTGGTAGAAGCTGACTGCAGTGACCTGCTCAATGACCTACATTGCTCAGTCCTCAGTATCAATTGTAAGGGCATCTGCAGAATGATGGATAGATACAGGTGTGCACAAGGACCAGGAGATTAGAAGCAGATAGCAGAGAGGTGGAATGACTTCCTTGGAGTCACACAAGTAGTTAATGGAAGAGAAGGAACAGAAATGTGGGCCTCCTTACTTGCCTGTCAATGGCATATTGTTTTAATTGTATTTTTAGGAATTTGACCTCCTGTAAGTCAGGAAGATGAAGGTAATCCCTTGTGTGATGGTATGAATTAGAATGACCCCCATAGCTTAATATATTTGAATGCTTCGTCACCCGGGAATGGAATTGTTTGAAAGGATTACAAGGATGTAATCCTTGTTGGAGGAAGAATGTCACTGGAGATGGAATTTGAGGCTTCAAAAGCCCACACCGGATCCAGGCTCTCTCTGTTTGCCTGCCTGACTGCTGGTCAGGGTCAGGATGTAGCTCTCAGCTACTTCTCCAGCACAGTGTATAATGATAATGAACTAACCTTCTAAAACGATTAAGCAAAAACTCCAGTTAAATGCTTTCTTTTGTAAGTGTTGCCTTGTTCTTTACAACAATAGAAAAGTAACTAAGACTCCTTGGAGCATCATGAGCAGAAATCATACTTTTGACATTTACCTTGAATAATAGGATGGATCCCAAGGATAAACAGTCATCAGGGATCAGGTAGGTGGTAGGAGAGTGCTTAGGCCCTATGAGAGGAGCATTTTAGGTAAAGGTCATCTTTTGCTCGGCATCAAATAGGAGAAAAGAAAAGTGGTAGGCAATAGTGAAGGAGCCCAGGAAGTGTAGCTTTGAAGTCGGTCAGGATGGAGACAAAGTTTGGGGAAGACCTGCTGTTGCTGCAGTGGCTGGCCAGATGCTTAGTGTTTCAGAAAACCATCTCTCTGCCTTTCTCACTTGTAAAGAAATATGTTTGCTCCAGAAAAATTAAAATACTAACAAAGGACACAGTCATAATCTAAAGGAGACTCGGCCGTCCACACCTCTTACTCACAAAGAAATTCTGATATGTAATTCCTTACAGGTGCTTTTCAGTGGGAGGAACTAGAAGAAGACATCAGGAGGAAGCTGAAAGATTCAGGGGACGTCTCCAATGTCATCGAAAAAGTTAAATGCATTTTAAAAACACCAGGAAAGGTAAATACTTTGACTGTGAATTATAACTAGTATACTTTGATAGCCATAACATTGAGTCATCAGCAAAGTTAAATAATTCATAAATGTAAATGTTTCCCCTGTCTGTATGTTTAAATATGTTAAAATATTTGAACAGAAACGTATACATATTTTAAACAGAAACATGTATTTCTTACTAAGATTTTATGTAAGGATACGTATGTGTGACTTGTGTCTTTGGAATGTTCATTTATGAATTCTGCTTTGGGAACAGCTCACTGGAGCCTTGGGAACACACACCCCATATTGGGAATGAAAGGCTGCCTGGCTCCTGCTTTGGGGAGTAGGGCAGTTCCTGCATGGACTTTTAAAGATTCAGCAATATAGCTGAATGGACAGTTGAGGAATCCTTGAGTACATTGAGTATATATTCAAAGTTACAAACTGGGTTCTGGGTTATAAAAGTCTTGATGTTGTATGACCATAAAACTCCAGTGATTTAAATTATACAGTCTGTAAAGGTTTTAAAAGTAGATTTGTAAACTTTTAAGACAACTGTATTATACAATTTAGCCAGTTTATTCTTATTTTAGATTCTGTGATAAGCAAATTGGCTGCAATAGATAAAAAGGTAAGCTGAGTGCAATGCAAAGTTTTCTTTAAATAGAAGACAAATATCCCTTTAGTTTTTTGTAACAGATGACTTAATGCTGCAGCCCACATTGATAACATTTTTAAGTTGATAGTTGAAAGATGTAAACTATATTAGTGTTTCATTTCTTCTCATTTTTCAGAGTTGTTCTTTCTTTCATTTAGTGTGTGTATACACATGTGCACAGTTGAGTGTGCCAAAGAGCATACGTGGAGTTGAGAGGACATCTTATAAGAGTGGATTCTTCCTTCCACTGTGTGGGTTCGGGATTAAACTCAGACAACAAGTATCTTTACTCACTGAGCCATTTCTCTGCCCCTTCCCCTTTCCAGTTTTTTTTTTTTTTTTTTTTGAGGAAATAACTCATTCTATAGTCCAGATTGACTACTGACTCTCCATGTAGCCCCAGCTAGTTTCTAGTGGTGGCTTTCTACCTTACCTTTCCTGGTGCTAGGATTGCATATGTACAACCACACCTGGCTTGTACTAGCTTTTCATGGAAAGTATTAATTTTCTTTAGTTGAGAAAAAAATTCATGGTTCTGAAATGATGAGACAAAAGTGTAGTTCATGAGCCAGGTAGTATATTATTTCAAACAGCAGTGTTATTGATTCTTTTAACTTTATAATGGCATTTATCTTTTCCTTTCTCTTAAAGGGCTTTTTGAGAACTATATAAATATGATAGAGAGTAAACAACCTGTTGATTATTTTGGTGATGTATGTTCTTACTTGTCATGTTTGAAATTTCATTTTCTGGACAAACAAAACAGCCGACAGTCTTTCCCTCCTGAAAGGATTTTCTGAGGCCTGGACTGCAAGGCCTACTGCATATCGAGGGTGGAGTCTATGGAAAATAAGATAGATTTTAGAAATAAAGAGTTTAACATATGAAAATAAAATCCAACAGAGAACACAGGATTAAGGGTGAGATATTCTGTTTCAGTAACTCCATGTGGCAGGCATCCCCAGGCTGGCCAGCCTTACAGGATTCTTTCAGCCTAACTCAGCTAAGTAATCCTTTAAAGACTGACACAGAAATGACTGTGCTCTGTTTATTAGACAGTCTGATGAGTTCATTTATGAACCAGGGGAAAATCTCTCTCTTACCATCTCTCTCTCACACACATGCTTCATACCTGGTGTGTATCTCTAAGATTCACCATGTGCAGGTTCATAACCTTTATCTACATGGGATAGGCAGAGTCTTGTTGGTGTTCTGAACCTGTCTTTTCGGTGGGTCTGATTTGGCGCTTGTTCCTTTGTGGTACTTCGAGTGCCATCACCTCGGACCAATGATGGGAAGACTGGACTGTGTGATTCTGTCTAATTCCCCCTGCACAGGTGGGAGGACTCCCCCACTGCTACATATTTTCTGTTTCTCAAGTGTGTCATAGAAACTAACTCTGTGTGAGCACTTGGGAAGGTGGGTTTCAGTTCTGAGTCTGCCATGAATTATTGCTACAACGATGGTCAATTCAGGCTTTTCTATTAAGCTGGGGATAAAACAAGATACTTGAAGCCCCTGCTAGCTCTAATTCTGGGGTGGGTTTTGGCTGTCACTCTCTAGACATGTCAGCCACTTGCATCCAAATGCCAGTTCCTCCAGTGGGTGTTGTGGCAGGTGTTGAGATCTGCATATGGGGACAAGGACTATTGCTACTTCTTGCCCTGTTGTTGTGCTTCTGGATTTCATGCTGCAGTGGGCTTTCTTTTTCCTTGTCAAGAGGATTATATCATTTTCCTCTGTCACAAAAGATTGCAAACTTCCCTCCAAAGTAGATTAGCATAGGTACACAGTTAGATACCACTTATTCTTATTGCCAGAGTTAGATGTGTAAATGATTTCCCTAGCTGGCCAAGCGTGGGAGTTCTAATGAGGATGAGATTTGGAAATAACGTCAGGGAACTGATGGAATCATCAAAAATGACTAAACATCAAGCATGCCTTTAATACCAGCATCCTGGGAGGCAGAAACTGGTAGATCTCTGTGAGTTCAAGTCCAGCCTGTTCTGCAGAGTGAGCTTCAGGACAACCAAGGCTACACAGAGAAACCCTGTTTTAAGAAGAGAAAAAGGATGAATAAAAATAATTTCAATAAGAACCATAACTACAACATTCCAAATTAGGAATTGTGGTTATACAATTTAAGAAGGCAGCCTAATTTGGGCACCTCTACTTGAAAATGCTGTTAAGAGTTGTTTTATTTCACTGTAAAAAAAAATTACAAAAGAAAAGGATGGAGGCAAGGAAAGGAAGCTGGCCTTGGGCTTCTAGAATAGGGACCAAGGGATGTCTGGATAGACCCAGCAAATGACAATGTGCCAAAGCTGAGGTGGACAAAGGTGCTATGAGAAAAGGCTGGCAACTGAGCTAGGCAGGAGTGCTGTGACAGGTCTTGTTGATATGGGCAGAGTGTCTGGAGCTGTAGACCCAGGACCCCAGGGGCTTTCTGTCAGTTCCTGTAGTCCCTGATATTTAATAAATAATTTAAAATTATGCAATAAGCATTAGAAAGGTGTATTCAAATACAAATTCACCACTCTGGGATTTTTTTAAATGTTTGTTCTTTAGGAGAAAACGGTGACCTGATGGCTGTAAAAGGACCTTGTGTGATAAGGAAACAAAGGTTTCCTTCCTGTTGCATCAGTGGCTCTCAGGAATTCAGGGTCCCGAGGCTCGCTGGCTACCCTAAGCCATTTCCTGTAATGTGTGCTCAGTGGCCTGGTGCTTCTCACTGGCAGCCAGCAGATGTAGTGCTTGAGGGAAGTTTCCCCTCAGAGAGGTTCTTAGAGGCGCCATCACAAGGCTGAGGCCTTGATTTCTTGTCTGCAGTTTTCCATGTGTGCTATCAAAGCAGACTGAACAGCTTCCCCCTGTGCTTGTGTTTTCTCCTCATAGATCAATTGTCTGAGGAATTGCAAGACCTACCAAGCCAGAAAGCCTCTGTGGTTCTATAATACGTCGCTCAAGTTTTTCCTTAATAAACCGATGCTTGCTGATGTTGTCTTCGAAATACAAGGTATGGCTCGTACTGAGTTCATTTCACATTTCATTTCTACTTGCTCCCATCACACCTAGTTCAGTTTTAAATACCTGGGATGGAGGAGTTAGTGTTCTCTGTTGAAGGACATAAAGTGATACCAGCTGAATTTTAAGAAAATCATTTTATAAACTAAGAAAAGGAATTTATATTTCTTTAGTGTTTTCCCTTTGTATATACTTCATTTACTTTCTGGGATCCACAGGGGATGGGATGATCTTTAATTTGTCATTTTGCATTTTCATTTGCATATTTCTTTAGGATCCCATTTTTTTACTTCATATGAACCCAGCTGCCTTAAAAGCACATTATCTCTTGCTTGGTCCATTCAGTTTTTAAAAAATTGTCCCACCTCCAGCAGGCACCCACAGTTATTGCTGAATGTGTCCCTGGAAGCACTGTGGGAATTCTTGTCACCAGATCAATTGAAGACCACCTCTTATCTCTGTGGGAAAGCAATGCTGCCTACTTTTAATAAAGCTGAGTAGTCTTGGAAGCCCATTACTGATTACTGCATGAATAATTACCACACATTAATAGATTAAATGCATAATCTTAAAGACGAATTGTCAGATATCTTTGGTTACACAGGATAAAAGGAGTTGTTTGCAAATAACCTAAGTAGAACTTTAGATGAGCCATTGTAAAGAGGGAGATATAATTTAAATTTGGGGTAAAAATTTGTGGCAGCTAGCATACCATTTACTTTTCAATATCTTTCCCCAGAAAGATTCTCCTTATTTTTAATTTTGGTCACATGTCAAAAAAATCACCAAGCATTATGTGAGTGTAACCTGCTGAGAAGGGTTTTGAAGGAAACAGGCAACACATGGAAAACAGAGAATCTTTCCCCTTTTAGTCTCTTGCTTTTCTTCTGCTGTGTCACGCCTGACCCTCCCTGGCAACCCCTGCCCGCTCACCTCCATGTGCAAGGACTCTGGCTTCCCATCTGATGGCATGCAGCATCTGCACATCACTACAGGTGTTGGTCACATGGGTGGTCATTCCCCTTCTTAAAAGTTACATGTACTTGCTTACTTAGTTGGGGTGTGACATGTGCATGCCCTAGCAGTCGTGTGGAGGTCAGAAGACAACTTGTGGGAACTGGCTAGTCTCTTCCACTATGTGGGTTCTGTGGATTGGCTGTTAGGGTTGACAGCAAACCCTCTACCCACTGAGCTATCTCATATGTCCCACTTTGTTTTTTGTTGTTTTGTTTGGTATAAAATTTGATTTGTTTGTTATAGGAGTAACCGACCACTTTTTAAGATTATAATATCAACCCTCCCATGTACCTTCTCTGTTCACCAAATTCATGGCCTCTTTTTTCACTAATTGTTATTGCATGCATATGTGTATTCCTAAATATAACCTACTCCATCCATATAATGGTACTTATATGTATGTTTTCAGGGCTGACCATCTGGCACTGGACAACAGTTGGTGTGCCCTTCCCTTGGGAAGACCACCGCTCTAGCTTCCGCTTCCCTCAGTTGCCTGTCCTTTGTGTAGGGTTGAGGCTTTGTGAGCTCTTCCCATCCACTTTGCATGCCAATTGATGTCATTATTGATGTCCTTCTTCTTCAGCCTGAGTTTGGGTAGTCATGTTGGTAAGACTTTATGGATGTAGCTCCTGGTGCTACTAGGAGACACAATCTTACAGCGAACCCCCTCATCCTCTGGCTCTTACACACTTTCTGCCCCACCCCCTACAGTGTCCCCGAAGCCTTAGATTGAAGGAGTATTTCGTAGATGTACGAATGCCAAGAGTGGCATTCGGCTCCACGAGTCTGCATTTTGACTGGTTGTGGTTTTCTGTAGTGGTCTCCTCTGCTGGAGAAGTTTCCCCAATGAGGGGTGAAGACTACACTTATCTGTGGGTATAGTGACAGATGTTTATAGATTGTTAGGAATTGAGCTGGTTTAGTCAAGTAGTGGTTGTAGATCCTCCTCCAATAATGACTTCACTATCCCTGAGTAGCTGGCCAGGTTTCCAGTACCAGGCATGGCTTCTCTCTTGCTGATCAGGCCTTCAGTCCTATTACAGAACTGTTGGTTATCCCTAAGGTTTGTGTGCCACTGCTTCAGTCTGAGTGTTATTGTGCCATGCTGGTCATTGATGTGGGTCACACGTATCATAGCTGTGTGAGGCTGTTGGATGCTTCCCTCCCCTGGAAGCTTGCAAGATGCAAAAGTCTGTATGTTTGGGGAGTTTCTTTTATAGCCCTGGCCAACATCTCCAAAGAGGACTTCTCATGTCTAATGTTGGGGTTTTGTTAGGTGCACCATCAGCCCAGATGAGAGAAGTTCATTAAGACTATGTGTGTATATTCATACGAAGAATTATAAGCATTGTAGGTTTTTTTTAGTTAAGTAATAGTATGGTTTCTTGTGGCTTCTTCAGATACCCTTATTGTTACTTTACCCATCTCCTTCCTGCTTCCTTGTTTACCTCCTTCTCCTTTCCTAAAGAGCCTCCGCTTTCCTATTTCCCTGTAGCCAGCAGCCACCACCCCAGTCTTGACAACAGTCCCATTTTACCATTGAAAGAGAACATGCAGTGTTTGTTGTTCTGGGTCTGGAGTACGTTGCTCCATATGATCTTTTCTAGTTCCATCCATTTACCTGTAAAGCTCATGGTTTCATTCGTCTTCACAGCTGAATAGTATCCCATAGTATGTAAGTACTGCATTTGTTATGCACCTGTCAGTTGTGAGGTATTTACATTGTTTCTATTTCTTGTTTTTTCTTTTTTTTTTTTTTTTGTGTTTTTTTTTTTTTTTTTTTTTTTTTTAGGGGGGGACAAGTTCTCTCACTGGGACCTGGGACTTGCTGGATAGGATAGGCTCACTGGCAAATTGTCCCCAGAGTTCCTCCTGTTGCCACCTTGCCAGCCGTGGTGGGATGGCAGGCTTGTGCCACCACATCCACTTGTTTTATGTGGGTTGTAGGATTTGTGTTCAGGTCTTATGCTTTCACAGGAAACACTATGGATGGAAACATCTCTCAGCCCTATGGAATGGTTCTAGGTTTTGTTCATTGGTTTGTTTGTTTAGGGCATTATGTTGTTTTGATGGAAACAACTGTGTGCAGTGTATGTGTCTTACTGTGGTTAATCACTAATTTAAATGTTTCATACCAAAAGCAGAAAGGGAAAACATTCTTATATTTAAATTGGTTTATTTTAAAACTAAGACAGACCCTTTGAGTAATAGTTGGATAACAACTCTCCCTAAATCTTAATTACAAAACTTTCTATAAGGTATAGTGAAATCTTAGCTAAACATGTGACCTTTTTCACTACATCTTTTGCCTAAAATATTTGCAATACAAAGTATATTCTGAAAAAAGTCACACTTATGAGCTGGTTAATAGCCAGATGTTGCTTCAGCAGATTTAGGAAGTAATGAGAAAGATACGAATGATGTTAGTATTCATTTAGACATAATTTTCTTTGTGCAACAGCACAGTCAGTCTTTGGCTCCTTCACTCCAGTTGTCATCATGGACATCACCACCTCTTGACACTTTCAGAGACTAAATGAGGACAAGTGGTTTGAGCCAGTGCATTGCTTAGGTGAGGAAGTAGTGACAGAACGAAAAGACCCTGCTGGGATTTGTACTGAGATGGATGCTTATGTAGATGTGGTTGTATCTCTTCCGGTTTCTGGCCCTTTATAGATGACTAGAACTACCAGGAAAGAAGATGATCTAGAGTTCTACAAGTGACCTTGAAACTTTAACAGACATTGTCCATTCAGAATGTGAAACACTCTTGTCTTCTGACTCTAAATGGGAACTCAGATTTCCACTTGGAGTGGGTGTAAAGGTTGCAGTTGTGCACACAGGGACTAACAGAGACTGAAGCGTAAACTCCATTCCTCTTCCCTGCAGTGTCAGCTGGAATTGGTGGGCCCTGAGATGTTTTACTGTTGAACCCAAGCTATAAGCTAACAACCACAATTGGCTGGAGTGGACACAGGATATGAAACCCTGACATGGTGTATTATTTGTGTAATAGAAATATCTAGAGATAAAACAGTTCTAAATCACTTTTGGAAAATATGCAGGAGTGGCCTAGGATGATGGGTTCTTTTGCATTTGACCCTATTTGACATGAAATGCTCTTTAACAAAAGCACATTCCTTTCCACTGTACATGTTAAATTTCTCTGGAAGTAAACAAGTGTCTGTTTTCTTTCCCAGAATGAAACCAAGTGTCATTCCTAAATGCCATTGTTGAAATCTGAAATAAGAAGGTGCAACTAATACATTTTATTTCAATACTCAATCAAAAAGACCATTGACAACCTGTGTAAAGTGAGGAGAAACTGCCTTTGGAGTTGTTTCTTAGAAAAGTTTTCTGAAATTATAACATGAAGCATGTATGATAGAAGAAGATAGCTGGCTTTGGCACTTTCACAGAACATACTGATCTTTTAACAACAACAAAAAATGCCTTCTATACCCTCACACAATTCTTTACCAGCAGTCAATTGCCAGCCATTATATAAATGCTATGTCATATTTTTTAGTATGTATACAAATATACTGCATAAAATAGGTAACTAGGAGCTGGAGAGATGGCTCAGCATCGGTAGCACCTGCTGTTCTTCAAGAGGACCCTGGTTTGTCCCTAGCACCTGTGATGACTGCTTATAACTTGACTTTCAGAGGATCTGAAGCTGCCTTCTGTCTTCCACAGGCAGCCCCACACATATCACACACTGAATAAAACAAAACAACAGAAAACAGGTAACTGCAGTTGGGTACTGTTAGTTACATTTTCACAAGAACAAAACAATTATTAAACAGATGTGAAAGATCATGTTCCCTTACCTGAAAGTAAGATGGTTTTCCATACTAAGTTATAATCGTCAAATGGATCTAAAAACCATCTGGACATTTCTTTCTGTGCGACATCTACACCATGCCTGTAATCTCAGTTCTAGGGAGCAAAGACAGGCAGATTTGGAGGCTTGCTGCTCAGGCAGTGTAGCCAAACAGAGTTCCAGGTCAGTGAGAGAGCCTATTTCAAAAACTTAGGTGGAAAAGAAATTGAAGAAGACATCCTAATGTCAATCCCTGGCTTCCAGATCCAGAAGAGCCATGTGTACCTGCATGCATGTGTGCGCGCACGCACACACACACACACACACACACACACACACACACTGACTCACAGTATGCTGAAGGTAATGAACTTGTGTTTACTTTTCAACATTATCTTGTAACATTATCAACAGAAAGCTCTTAAAATTTCAAGCCCTGCTTATGAAATCCATCCCTGCCTACTATCCACTTGATATTTACAGTCAGTTCTAATTCATTGACTTAACTCAAATAATAGACTATCAAGTGTGTTTAAGCCATGCTTCTATTTTTCAAATGTTCTGTTTATCTTGAAATAGTTTAAACCCTAAAATTGTAACTCAAATTGCAATGCCAGTTTGAATTCCTTGTTAATTGGTCTCTACAAATATATCTAGCATGCCTTAATTATGGAAGCTGACCCTTTTGGTAGATGATATGGTTACACTGGCTGGGAACGTTGTGGCAAATAAGGGAAGACACGGTGAACAGATGATGTTTGCTGGGAGGAGCAGAATGCTCTCAAGCTGTCTCCTTGCTCCTGGTGTGGGTATGGCTGGGCAAATCACAGTGCCAACCCATGGGCTCAACTGGCAGTGTTTGGTTCATGAGACCGAGGAAATACCAGCCTCCGGAAACATCTCTGAGTTTAGAAGGACCTCTTTTCTTCCTAGGAGAAGAAGCATTTTGCTTGGATTTAAAGAGGTTGAAGAATCTAACAAATTGGACATTTTAGAGAAGATGATATACTTGTGATAAATGTTATGAAAGTAGATGTTACATGAGTACATTATTAGGCATAAAACAGTGTTTGCCTCATGTCATTTCTTTCTGGAAGGGGCAATTTTGTGGTTCCCGCTGATCCTGGGATCCTCTATTACTAGAATTCCTCCTCTGCCCTCCTCATTTCAGGCACCATGGTGGTGGTGGTCAGTGGAACTGAAGGTTGTTGTGTGGGTTCATGGTCTCCTTACATGGTAGAAATTATAACCACTGTTTCACCACCCCACAAGTCCTGTGTCACTTGTGATCCCATCCGGTGCTGTCTTGGTGCATTAGAACAATAGCTGGAAAGCTCAGCAAAGTCTCCCTAGAGAGTCAGTCTGGTGAGCTTCAGTGTGAACTCAAGGGCATCACAGTTCACAGCCTATCTCAGAGAAGGCATTGCTTTTATGTAATAAACGTGGCATGAGCATGTCATCACCGTTCACAAAAGGTGCTCTCCTCCCCTTCGAGGTTTGAACAGCTTGTTGTTTGCTTCTGCTGTTTCCATTTCTAGTGTGGGGAAGCCTGACCAAGACAATTGTGAGTTTAGTCATGAAGAACAATGGAGCTGTTTCCCTGAGAGGAACATGGCAGAGGTGGCAGTATTTCAAGCCAATCTAGAGGGCACGTGCTTTGTTATAAAAACACAAGGCAAAGTCTGTATTTCAGTTCCTTGGTCTTTAGGAAACCTAAACTAACAAATGTTGGTCTGATTTGTAAATTGTTGGGTCCAAAGGTAGATTTTGAACTCTTTCTGTTTCTCAGCTGCCGTGAGGAGTTTCTGAAGCCGTGCCCACTGTCTCCCTGGTGTGGTTCTCAGAGCAGCCCAGCTAGTCATGGTTGGTGGCACTCCACTTAGAACACGCTGGTAACTGGGCAGCGTTATCTTGATTTTGTTTACCTTTCTCACCTTTCAGGAACAACTGTGCCAGCCCACAGAGCCATCCTGGTGGCACGATGTGAAGTGATGGCCGCCATGTTTAATGGCAATTACATGGAAGCCAAGAGTGTCCTGATCCCAGTTTATGGCGTTTCCAAAGAGACTTTCTTGTCATTTTTAGAATACTTATACACAGACTCTTGTTGCCCAGGTACGCAATATGCATGCTATAAGATAATATCTCATGATTCTTTCTTGTCACTCACTTTGATAGTTTGCATTCTATGAACTGTGTTTTGTTTAAGGTCTATCAGTTGATGTCATGGGATCTGCTAAGCAGTTAGGAGGTGATGTAGGCAGAGCATCGCATTTCCAGTTAGTTCAATGGTCAGGGGCTCATGCTAACGTCAGGCTATTGATTACTCTAGATACCTGAGAATAGAGGCATTTAGGGAACCTAGTGGATGCTCTCATTTTAGAGTTTTGGAGCACCTCCTCTAACAAGGAAAGGACTAGACAATAGCTTTTGTGGTCCTCACATCTAGTTGAATGTTTTCGAGACTTTTGATACTGTGAGCCTCCTGATCTGAGGATGTGGGCGTTTAAAGGCTGCTACTGACTTTCAAAACCAGACTCCCCTAAAAACTTTGCCAGGATGCTTAGGATCTATTTGTATAACTAACCAAAGGCTATCTTTGGCCATCACACATTAGTAATGTTAATAATAATAATGTGTATCAGCTACACAGTCCTTTCGACTAGGCACAGAAGCCCCTTGGAGTGTTTTATCCCATTCTGCCACCAGGTGGCGCCCTCCTCAAACACAGCTGGAATGAGCACCACATACACTGGTGACCTAGGAGATGAGGCCTTGTTCACAAAAGCCAGCAACCCTAGGGAAATGAAAACCATACCTTTCAGATCATACCCCCCTTTTGGCCTCCATGCTTTAATTTTTAGATTAGGAAATTTTCCTACATTTGTTGTTTAAATAAAATTGAATAATTCCTAAATGAAAGGACAGGGTTTCCAAAGAGAAAATTACTTCTATAGTCAAAGTGTCTCAGTATCCCAGTTAGTCGTGTTTTGGAGTTGTTACTGCCAGTATTAATAAGGTCTGGCTTGTTATTTTTGTTTGGTGAAAATGAAGGCATTGGCTCTTAGTGGAAATAAATACTATTTTCTCAATACTGGAAATTTGAATAATTAATAAAAACTTTGACCACTAGTTTTTTTGTTTTTTGGTTTTTTGTTTTTTTTGGCTTGTTTGTTTTCTTTTAAAGATGTACCAAGCTTGATGGCACACACCTTTAATACTAGAACTCAGGAGGCAGGAGTAGTTGAATCTCTCAATTTGAGGCCAGCCTGATCTACACAGTGAGTTCAGGACTGCTAGGGCTACATAGAACCTATCTCAAAAAGCCTAAATAAATAAGTGAATAAATAAATAAATAAATATACAAGTGTACTATTGCATTAGCACAAATCAAGGTGGTATCTCTAAATTGCTTTAGTGATTGCATTATATAGTAGCACACTCAAATTTTTAAAGTCCAATTTCCTGTTTCAATGTTTTACTAAAAGGCTTATTCATAATAAAAGTTATAAATTTACTGTTCTTGTTTCATTTCTGTTGCTGTGATAAAATACTCTAATAGGGAGTAACTTATGGGAGAAAGCATCTATTTTAGATAACAATTCCAGGTCGAAGTCCATATTCCAGGTGGTAGGAAGCTGGGGCAGTTAGTCATATCATATCCTTGGTCAAGAGCAGAGGGAAATAATTGTATTCATCCCTTCTGCTCAGCTCACTTTCCTACTCTAATACAGTCCAGAACAAGCCTCGGGAATGGCACTGCCCACAGTGGGCAGGTCTTCCCACAGACATGCTAACAGGCTAGCCTCATCTAGACGATCCCTCATTGAGACTATCCTCACATGATTCTAGATTATGTCAATTTGACAATTGCAACTGGGCCAGCACTCTACACCTGAGCCATATGCACAGTCCACACCTAACACAAAACTTAACTGTGTGATTTCCAGGGGTGGACAAGAGGGAAAGTGGGGAGTGACTGTCTGACACTCACAAGGCTCAGTCTAGGAAGATGAATGGTGCTCCGGAGAATAAAGAGTGGTGATGAGTAATCCCTGCACCAAGGAAGGTAGAGAGAGAGAATCCCCAGAGCAATCCCCAGAGCAGGCTGGCTAGCCAAACTAAACTGTTAAAGACCCTGTCTCGGTGTACAAAGTGGTGAGCGATGGAGGAAGACACCCAGCATCAACCCTGGGCCTCCACACACAAATAGATACCACATGCATGCACGCACATATAGATACCATATGCATGCACACACACACGGATACCATATGATTATACACACAGATAATATGTAGTCACACACACAGATACCATATGCATACATAAAGAGATATCGTAGGCATGCAAGCGCATGCGCGCGCGCGCGCAAGCGCACACACACACACACACACACACACACACCCACACACACACACACACACCCACACACACACACACACACACACACACACACACACACATTTAAATTTGTAGGTTTTGTGTTTATTGTGCCCCAAGCCTGGGCACTAAAGCAAAGAAAGAAAAGTTAGGAGTGGAGATGTAGCTCAAATGGTAATGTGCTTGCCTAACATGCAGAAAGTCCTGGATTTGATCCACAATACAGTATATTGAGCAAGACTGTACACACCTGTGAATTCAGCACTCAAAGATAGAGGCAGAAAGGTCAGAAGTTGAAGGTCGTTCTTGACTACATAAGGAGTTGAAGGCTAGCCTGGGATATGTGAGACCCTGGAGTGGGCACGGATGGAGGAAGAGGAAAAGATGAGATTTAGAGTAGCTAACAGAAAAATTTAGCCTTATCACACACACTTGGGAGGCAGAGGTAGACAGATTTCTTGGAGCTCAAGGCAAGCCTGGTCTACACAGTGAGTTCCAGCCCAGCCAGAGTTACACAGTAAGGTCCTGTCTCAAAAAAAAGAAAAAAAAATTAGCTAGCTCTCTGTTGGTTAAGGGCAGCTACTGGAATTCTTCTCTAGAGAGCTGGGGATGGGATTCTCTTTGGAAATTAAAGTTTTGTTTTGTTTTTTTTTCCGAGACAGGGTTTCCTTGTGGCTTTGGAGGCTGTCCTGGAAACTAGACCAAGCTGGTCTCGAACTCACAGAGATCTGCCTGCCTCTGCCTCCCCAGTGCTGGGATTAAAGGCATGCGCCACCAATGCCCGGCTGAGTGTGAAAGCTTTAATGGATTATTTAATATGTAATACAAGTTAGGAATGTGCTAATGGGACTCTTTCTAGGAATTCTAGTCCACACTGAAGGATAACTGCCTGCATGAGTGTGCACGAATGCTCGTGTGTTTGTGTGTGTGTGTGTGTGTGTGTGTGTGTGTGTGTGTGTGTTGATTGGGAGTTTTGTTGCTACTGCTGCTGTTGTAGCTCTCACTAGGCTGGAACTCAGTGTATAGATTAGACTTCCTTCAGCCTCACAGAGCACCACTACCTCAGCTTTCCCAAGTGCAGGAAGTAAAGTGTGCACCAGCTACCCCCAGCTCGTGCTGTGCATGTTTGAATTTTGTTCCCGAAAGCAGTAGTCTAATAATCCATCTTCTCTCACTTCCTCCTCCCAGCTGGCATTTTCCAGGCCATGTGTCTTTTGATCTGTGCTGAGATGTACCAAGTCTCCAGACTGCAGCATATCTGTGAGCTCTTCATCATCACACAGTTGCAAAGCATGCCCAGCAGGGAGCTAGCCTCCATGAACCTGGACATCGTGGACCTGCTCAAAAAGGCCAAGGTGGCTAGCCCTGTGTGTAGGGTGGGAGTGGGGAGGGGGAGTTAGAAGGGGAGGGGGCCTCTTTGGATTAAAATACACTTATACTCCTTGGTTTTCTGTGTTTTAACAGCTATGTCAAGACTAGTATTCCTTTCAAGGTTTGATTTCAGGAGGCTCTAGTTTCTGTGCACCAGTTTTTATGATGAAGTAATTCTGAAGCATTCACTGGGTTAGAAATCACGTCTACATAATTTTTTCTTGTAGTGGTCATAATCCCAGTTACTTGTGGCTGTGCTCTGAACATTAGCATTACAGGAAATAGAATTTTCCTTCCAAAAGATCATTTCTCAGCATGACTGAAAGGAACATGGCAGGATTAGTCTATGTATACGGAATGACATAGTTATGGGAACTATTTACTTCCTCATTCACTGATTCATTTCATGAGCATGGTTTCAAATCTCTTGGTAGCATTGGTTGAGTTTGCTGCCATGTCTTGCTGTGTTAGGTGTAGCTGGAGGTTTCTTATCTTACCCAGTTCCGCAGCCACTTTAAACATAACCACTCAGGGGCTTAATATTAGTTACAAATGGTTCCGCCTATTAGCTCAGCCTTATTATTAACTAGCTCTTATACCTTAAATAAACCCATTTCTATTACCCTATATTTTACCAAGAGGCTTGTGGCTTGTTACCTCACATCTTGCTTACCGGGTGGCTGCTGGAGTCTCCCAGACTCCACCTTCTTTTTCCCTATATCTTTGCTTGGATTTCCCACCTAGCTACATTCTGCTTTGCCATAGGCCAAAACAGATTCTTTATTAACCAATGGTAATAAAACATTCTCACAGCATACAGAGGGGAATCCCACATCATCTCCCCTTTTCTGTCTAATTAAAAAGGTTTTAACTTTAATATTGTAAAATTACATATAACAAAACAGTTATCAAGTAAGAATTATAATATTTAGTCTATTTGCATTTGACAAAATTAAAGAAAAGACTCTATCATCTATCCTATCTTGTCCCGACCTGCAGGACATCATCCTGGGGCAAGAGAGTCAGGGATAGAGAATGGGGACAAGAGACGCAGAAAGAACGACCACAAGACAGGATTCTGATCAAGTGGCAAACTTTACTTTTTTCTCAGGCTAGCTTATATAGTCGGCAGAGCAGGATATGGGGAGGGGTAGAATGGGTTGTTTGTGAACCAGGGGTTAGTGTAGGCAGGATGTTAGGAAGCCACAAAGAGGATGTTTGGCAGGGTAAAGAGTTCATGAGTAAGAGGTTGAGGGAGGGGTTGCCGAGGTGACTGAGCCTGTGGGTGGAGGACTGGGTCCAGTTGTTTCTTTTCTTGAGCTGAGGTTCTAAGGAGCTGCTATGTAAAGGTTAATATACAACTATGTGGCCTGCCAAGCATGGCCTAGGATCTCATGCCCAGCCCTGAGATTTGGCTCCCAACATATTCCCCCTTCCTTGTATAAAAAGAAGTGGCAATTTTTTTCAGCAGAGGGGGATAGAGGCCTGGCCCCCA